AGCAGTGCGCACATTTTTGTGTCCCTGTCAGGACTCCAACCGCGATCAGTCGGGTCGGGACTTCAAACACTTACCCCTGAACTACACGGCCGACGGTTATCATCTTGGGCGAATGGCTCAATCAATTTAGAGTATCAAGCATGAATTAGCCCATCCGATTGTTCATAGGCACCAAGCACTCTTGATGGTCTTTGGATGGTCTTGGAGCACTGAAGCACAAGATTTACGATTGTTCACACGGAATCGCCGTCACTCGGGTAGGGGTAGTTCGACGCGTCCACTGAATCTCAACCGTCATATCTCTTTCCCTGCTCCACCTTCGGCCTTGCATTGCACGAAATTCAACTATGCAACCAAGGAGTGAAACCCACACCCAAGACCAGCAAGAGTGCCTGGTGACTCAGAACAATCGAATGTGCTAATCCAAGCTTGATACTCTAGAAAAATACTTGTTTATTGGGCCAGAGGATCCAATTTGTCCCATGGTGCCAGTTTAATTGTATCATATAGATCACGAGAGTAATTTAAACCAAACGGATTCTTTCGAGGGCAGAGATCCCCTATGATTTCTGTGCAGAGTATTTTTAAATTATAAAGACCCTTCTTCGAAGCTGTCACTGTTTTCTTCAAAGAATGCTAACTGAAGAAAAAACTGTTTAAACTTAATTACTAGTCTAGGAGACCAATCTCCTTCTTTAGAAATGATCTTTTCAAACATGGAAGAGGGGATGAGCTATATATGTTTTGCTTTCTCATAAACATTTGGTTGATCTAAAACGGTCGGACCATTTTCTTCAAATATTGCTAGCAAAGGAGTGGTCTTCAACTGCATTTTTGAATTCGGCCCGATCTTCAGCGTGAGCGCATAATACCTACTAACTCGGACATCTAAATGCTAGAATGTTCACCGGTAGTATATGTGCAGGTCGGCACACAAACGTACTAGCCTTGAATATCAATTCGAAGCATTTTTCGACTGCCAAATTTGCCTGACCTTATTAATCTCAAATGAAACCAGCACCAAATTAGTTCAACGCTTTAGCTTTTCATTTGAAGCGTTCGTTAAATGTATTGCGTAAGTCTTCTCTTTATTTGGATTTCGGTCAGTAAAATGAGTGGTGGAAGTTGATACAACGAACGGTTATTGTCGCTTGAATACTCCCTAACTAGTCACTGTCCTTTGCTGTGCCTAAAATGTGTTTACGAAACACGCACACGTATGACAATCCGAAATTCTCTTCGGTCTTGCACGGGTGAATTCACGGACACTACAACCTATTTATTGATCTCTTTTCATATTTTAAATCCAAACAGCGGCAAATGAAATACCTACAGATCAATAAAGAGATCCAGGTGAGATTTGCCCTACCTGTTTGGTCATTGAAACAAATATTCGTCATTTTTAACCGAGATATAGCTTAGACCAAACATCAAACTTATGACATTGGTATCAAATCATAATGGAACTTACTTGACATAACAGAAATGCGTGGTACAAGGAAGACATTACGGTAACAGATTGCTGTAACAAAAAGAAATGTAAAAAGCGGAGAGGATGATGTTTGAAATTAGGAGCTTTGATATTTGAGGAGGTGAACAGAGTTTTCAAAAAAAGAAACTAAATAAGCAGAGGCAGAGATCAGTCTGAGTTTAGACAATCTGTTCTGGGTTGTTCAATAACCCGAGCAAATTAGTCGATATTCTTTTCTCCATCTAGCACGGTACAAGGAATGGATGAAAGAGACTAAGTGCACATGACTAGAACAAAGATAACGGCAAGCCACTGATGTGTGAGAGAGGCTAGACAATTAGCAAAAGGGGCAGACCATATTCGTGAGCCTATCACGCCATTCATCATTTTAGCAGTGTGGACTGCAGCGTCACTGTGACTGATCTATTGGGCGTGGACCCCGACACTTAACTCGCGTAATTTTGTTCGTATTTTTGGGATATACGCAAGCGCAGACACAGATCTATCAACTCAGCTTTCAATCGAGACCTTTTCTGTTCCATTGTCTTTGCGATCGACAAGTCTTTTCAAATGCACTTTACCTGGAATTTCTCAGTCGGTTATTTCGGTTTAGTTAGTCATACCTTGTCAGAAAGAGTTGCCACATTTGGAATGTTAGTAGCTTGCTTTGTTAGCCATCTAATTCCAGGTGTTTTTAGCGAGATGCAACATGAGTAAGAATTGACCCTATTCGATTAAAATTCAGTCGGTCTCCGAGTTTAAGAAGCGAACCGTTTGAGATTAAACATAATAAAAAACTATTATGCAAGATGAACACATACACAGTCATGTGCTAACGCTTTCGATCAGTCAATAGAATAAGTGACTGTCGATCTTCCGTTTTTAAATATAATGTGGCCTTTCTAAACATAACTAATATTGTTCAAATAGTTGTTTGGCAGATTTAAAGTTTGTATGGTGATTATGGAAAGTTCAGAATCCTGGATGGGATTGGAACTCATGGACGCCGCCTACGCTTTGTACGCGCATGCTCTACCAGCTGAGCTATATGGTCACACCGATAGCACTGATCTACATACATACCTAATGTTATTGCCAGAAAACCAACTTAAATGTGGGAGACCAAAGAGAATTAAGGCAAACCTATTTCTAAAACCATAATACTTAATAATCGTCTAGTGTCTACAGTCTATGTTTAACAACGTCATTCAATGCATCATGCACCAGACGGTTACAAGTCATCGTTTGAGCTCCATCCACTCCGCAGTCCGCTCACTTTTTGCTGATCTGGGAAACTGCTCAACAGAGCTTTGACCAAATCTGCGACAGAACGGACTAGGACGAAAGGAATCGGACGACAGGCCAATCCCGTTGCTTCACGCGTTAGAGCCATATTCATAGTCGCTCCCAGGAGTATCCACGATAATGTTCGGACACGTTCGACCATGATGAAAAAGTCCCGCGGTCTGACGGGTGGGGAAATAAGTAAATAGACAGCTGTGAGTCAACTATGACAATCGGCTTCTACACATCCGGAGCATAAACTAAAATAATCCCTTATGTTTCAAGACATTCAAGATAAAAATTGCCGCCTAGTTCCCGTCTCTGACTTTCTTGCAATACTCGAAATTCAAATTGTGAGTTCCAAAATATTTGAGCGTCACTTAGGGTTGCTTTTTTACTTTTCACTGGAACACAGTCTATCTCATTCGCACTTACCACAGTCTACATAATGGAAAAATAAAAACTTGGATGATTTCTGAGCAAGAATGATACTCCTTCAGACGGGCATGGATGCATGCATGCATACACTACCTGCACGAATGCACATTAATGAGAACTGAATACACTTCATCCGGTGTGCTTACCCCAGCTGTGTAGAAGGTGGAATACATTTTAACCAAGGCAGATGGTGTAAAATGGGAGCGTCAATCTGCGAAGTCTGGGAGAATGTGGGAGCCAAGGTTACGTGTCCATAGGTGGTTGTCAGCCGTGATGGTCCACCGGAAGTCGGAGCTCCAGGCACAGCTGAGCTTGATGCAGTCGGCCCAGGGCCCGTATGTAATGGCACATCGGAAACGGCAGGAGGTGGTGGTGGATGTACGGTTACCGTAGTTGAAACAGGTGATTGAACTCGCGAGTTACTCCCGCTTCCCGCGGTCGAAGTTGAGCCATGTGATGTCGACATTCGTGTCATCGGATTCTCCAAAGTGATCCCTGCAGCCGAAGTACTTTCTACCGATGGAGTGATCACGATCACAGTTGCGTCTGGACCGCGTGAACTTCGATCAGCGGTGCTATCGTCACTCTGACGTGAGGCAATACTACCGGAAGAACGATGTTGCTGTTTACCGGTGGATATCTCGCTGTTCCCAGTTGAGGTAGAATAATGTGTTGCGCTCACGGAATTGCCCGGTGCATTGGTTTGTATGATTGGTGGTCGAAGACGAAGTGGAGCCCCGGTAGAAGAGAATCCGGTACTTTTTATCGGTTTAATATCGACAAGCAAACCCGGAGCAAGCATGGGTAGTACATCTTGATCATTCACACTGCTAGAACGGGACAATTCCAGGGAGACGTACTGCGCCAAGCCTGATTTCAAATGTGCGCCCAGTACATCTTCGTGTAGACTGGGCAACGAAGAGATCAGACCAGTTGTTGTGCCACCAAATGCACCACCAGCTCCGCCAGCTGAGGTAGCTCCTGCACCAACCAAACCGGAAGTGGTCAACCCGCTGCTAGTATTCAATAGACCGCCCACGGAACCAGAAGAGGTCGGTATGCCGGATTTTCCAAGACCGATCGACGTACCAGAACCGCCGACTAGCCCGCATGGGTTGACAGTTAGCTGAATAGCCGACTTCTGGGCTTGTTTAACCTACATCGCAAGAAAAGCATTGAGATAACAGAGACAATTTCACGCGTAGGATTTAACCACGTACCATAAAACGTCCCACATTGATTGTCTCAGTAATGTGCTACGTTAGAAATACGCAGTCATGTGCGTAAAAGTTTACAACGGAACCCAATCTTCCTCTCTCAAGTCATCTACGACCAAGGTCCGTTTCACGGTGAGATCACTCTCTAACCATCCCACTTAGTATGGTAAAAACTTGTATTTCCGTGCAATGGTTCAGTTTAAATTATGCCATCAGAAACA